CGGTCCTTTAGAACCTTGGTGGAACGCAGGTACTCTCCAGCAGTAGCCCCGGGGAGGCAGCCCCAGTTTGGGGGCAAGACTCGGAGGAGATAATGGCATGAAGTCTGGCATCAGTGTCCCGAGTAGGGGAAGTGTCATCTCGTCTCCATGAGCCTGGATGACCAGATTCCAGTCATGTCCCTACAACTAGCTCCTCATCCCTAAGCCTCACTTTTCTCATCTGCAAAATGGGGGAGGGGGTCCATCATTCTATTTTGCTGTTGTTGTTAATCCTCACCCAAGGATACTTTTTCCATGATTTTTAGAGAGAGTGGAAGGGAGATGGAGAGAAAGAAACATCAATGTGAGAGAGAGACATCGCTTGGTTGCCTCCTGCATGCACCCCGACCAAGGCCAGAGATCGAGCCTGCCACCAAGGTATGTGCCCTTCACTGGAAGCAAACCCAGGACCTTCAGTCCATGGGCCGATGCTCTATCCAGTGAGCCAAACCAGCAAGGGCTGCTTTTATTTTAATATGTTTTTATTGATTTCAGAGAGATGAAGGGAGAGGGAGAGAAAGATAGAAACATCAATGAGAGAGAATCATTGATTGGCTGCCTCCTGCACGCCCCCCACTACTGGGGATCAAGCCCGAAACCTGGGCATGTGCCCTGACTGGGAATTGGACCCTGACTTCCTAGTTAAGGTTCGCCATCACTGACCTAGTTCATAGATCAATGCTCAGCCACTGAGCTCACCAGCCAGGCTACTTCACAGATTGTTAAAATAAAGACGACGTGATTTGCACCTGGCAAAGTGCGCACAAATATTTTAAGAGGTTATTATTACCCCTCTCTGGGGAGGGGGCCTGGACATGGTGGAGGAAGGGGTGGTGACTTACACTCCTCTCCCCAAATCCTCCTGAAGGAAACAGCTACATGATTCAGCGGAAGGAGTGGGATTTATCCGAATACAGTTACAAGGACCAGGAGGACCAAGGAAACCTCTATATTGGTGAGTCCAGTCATGGTGGCCCAATGGGTGGTAGAGGAGGGGAGGGGCTCAGTCCCTGGCACGCTGGCCCTCTCACCTTTGGTGCCTGGTGGAAGGGTAAGGCCAGGGTACAGATGTAACTAGTGGTATTTAGTTCAATTAGCGCTTATTGTGCGCCAAGATGCAAAGTCCCTACCCTCATGGGGCTCACAGTCCAGTGTGCAGACAGGACTGGGGCTGGGCATCCAGAAGCCACTTTCTTGCCCAACGTAGAATAGAGGAATAGAAGATAATGGGGGGAGGTGACCTCGGGGGTGCATCCAGAGTAGAAGGCAACAAAGTTTACTAGGGCCTTGATTGACCACCTTCCCCCATCCCAGGGTACACGGTGCAGGTGGGCAGTGCCATCCTGCACCCTACAGACATCACCATTGTGACGGGTGCCCCGCGGCACCGACATATGGGTGCTGTCTTCTTGCTGAGCCAGGAGGTAGGCGGAGACCTGCGGAGGAGGCAGGTGCTGGAGGGCACACAGGTGGGCTCCTATTTTGGCAGCGCCATTGCCCTGGCAGACCTGAACAATGATGGGTGAGAATCCAGGGACGTTCTCCGGGGCCAGGGAGAGTGGTGAGGGGAGCAGGCTTGCCAAGGCAGAGACAGGGAGGCTTGCATTTGTTTGCACGCTGTTGCAGGGATTTGCAAATTACTCTTCTCTGTTGATTTGCAATCAGACTTTCTGGGATTCTAGACATTTGCATGCCAGTTGCATGACACCTGCTTCTCTGTGTCTATGCTGGTCATTTCTCTGGCTCTAGTGCACGTGGGCTGTTTGGGTGTGATCTGTGCATGCATGTCTTCCTCGCATGTGTTTTCTATTAGATGGGGTTATGTTGGCATTTCCTTGGCTTTCCCACGACGTATGGCCAGAGATGCCACTTGTACAGCCGTGTGCCCTGGCACAGTTATGCCTGCTAAACCACAGTTATGCTGCATATTGATGGCTGGCCTCACACTCCCATGTCCCCCTCCTTCTCTTCTGTGCAGGTGGCAGGACCTCCTGGTGGGTGCCCCCTACTACTTTGAGCAGAAGGAAGAGGTAGGGGGTGCCGTCTATGTCTTCATGAACCAGGCAGGCACCTCCTTCCCGACCCGCCCCTCCCTCCTCCTTCACGGCCCCAGTGGCTCCGCCTTTGGCTTCGCTGTGGCCAGCATTGATGACATCAACAAGGATGGATTCCAAGGTATGAGCCAGCACCCCCGCCCCAGCACCCCACTGACTGAGTGCCAGCCGCATACCAAGCTTGGCCGGGCTGGAGAGGAGAGGAGATGGGGCCCAGGCCTGGGAGCGTACAGCAGCGCTAGAGAGGGGATGTGCCGAGGGAGCCACCACAGGCGAGGAGTGAACATACTGCTGGGCATCGTGGGCTGGGCTGAGTGTGCACCGTGGAAGGGAGCCGAGGGGTACGAGATGAGATAGGACATCTGCCTGAGGTCCCCAGATCTAGCAGGTGTGGGGGGTTCGTTTCAGAGATGAGGCTAGAGAGGTGGCGTGGGGGTGAGGTGGATGTTGTTGAAAGCAGGCTGTATATTTGGGTAATGACAGAGGGGTGTCCAGAGAAGGTGTGGGGGCAGGGATCGGATATGATAACTTGGTGCCCTGGTCCCTGGTCCCTGGAAGGAGATGTGGGACGGATGGGGGCGAGCAGGGCTTGGGGTGTTAAAATCAGGAATGTCGTGTGTCAGGAGGGAGATGTTAAGAGCCAGGAAAAGGTGGGAGCCCTGGATATAGAGGATGTCACCAGAACTCTGCAGCACGTAGGGACCCCTCAGACCTGGCTGCTCGCCTGGTTGCCATGGGAGCACCTGGTGTATCTGGAAGTCGCTTCTCTGGCATCCTCAGTTTCCCAGAACATAGCTGAAAACCAAACGGAAGACAAAGGAGCCTCCAAACAGTCCAAACAGGTGACAGAGGGTTCCGCTGATGCAGCCCAAAGCCCTTACTGATACGGGAGTCACCCCGTTTCCACTCAGGACCCACTCGTTCTTCCTCCACATACTTCTCCAACAAGCTTGGCATTCTGTGTACGGAGCCTTATCAGATCAAAGGCAGCGAACTCAGAGTTGAGTCAAGTTTAAGAAGCTGAAGCAGTTTGGATTTATGCGTGGAAATAATGGTTGGAATTTTACAAGTCTGGACACTTGAACATTTAACGCTGTAGAGTTGTGATGAAAATCCCAGCCCCCCCCCTCCCCCACGCTAGAGAGACAGGCCTCCGGGATCCTCTTCTCTGCTCATCAGCTGTGTGACGTTGGGTTTTCTGAGTCTGTTTCCTCCTCTGTAAAGTGGGGACAGTGGTACCGACAGCCAGCACCCTTGTGAGGATTAGACAAAATGAGTGGCTTGCTACCTACCGGGCACAGTCAGCCATCGGGAGCCCCGGCTTTTGTGGCCCTGCTGGCGAATGACCTTAGGAGAAGCAGGTGTCTGGAGGGGAGGTTGGTGAGGGAGATGGAAGGCACTGTAATAAGGGAAAATAAACAGCAGCCGCTGGCGGGAATCGGGAGAGTGGGCCTGCGTGAGACACTAACTAGCTGTCTGACTGGGTAGGTCACTTCCCTCTCCTGGACCTACTTCCCCACATGTACAAGGAGGCAACTGGGTGCCCGTTGGTCCCAGTTTCAATCCTGAGCCACAGAGCTCTGTTTCCTGGTGATTTGAGTACTGCCTGGCAGGGTGGGGTCAAGGCTGTGCTGGGCTCTGTGGCTGGAGCACAGGATTGGGGCGACAGGGGGCCCACAGTCCCCAGGGTGACCTCACTCTGCCTCTCTTCCCCAGACATTGCTGTGGGAGCTCCGTTTGAGGGCTTGGGCACGGTATACATCTACCACAGCAGCTCCAGGGGGCTCCTGCAACAGCCCCAGCAGGTATGAATGGACAGGGCCTGGGGCCTTCCCTCCTTGGCTCGCCCACCCCCTTCTTACTCCCCCTGAGCCCCCCTTACCCAGATCCTACCCTAGAGCTCGTCTTCAGTGCTTCCCCCTGCCCCCAGGTCATCCGCGGAGAGCAGCTGGGACTCCCTGGCCTGGCTTCCTTCGGCTACTCCCTGAGCGGGAAGATGGACGTGGATGAGAACTTCTACCCAGACCTGCTCGTGGGGAGCCTGTCGGACCGCGTCGTGCTGCTGCGGTGAGCCAAGGCGACGGTGAATAGGGGCCTCTCCCCTCCCACCCTGCCTGCAGGGAGCCCTATCTCCGTCCGCCTTCATCACCAGGGCCACCCAAGCTTGAGCCCTGGCCTGGCCTGGCCTGAGGCAGGCGGGGTGCTGATGTCTGGGTGTTTCCTATGCAGGGCCAGGCCCGTCATCAACATTCTCCACAGGACCTTGGTGGCCAGGCCGTCCGTGCTGGACCCCGCGCTCTGCACAGCCACCTCCTGGTGAGACTCGCAGTCCCTGCTCTGCCCACCCTTCTTATGTATGGGCAAGCCAGGAGGGCCCTGGCTCCCAACCCCCCCGCCCCCCGCAACTCCTGAAATCCCACCAGTAGAGGGTTGATTCTTGGGTAAGCATTGCCCAGCCTACCCAACCTCGTTAAAAAGCAAAATTCCTTGCATTGGGGTGCGGGGCAGTAGGCATGGGGGTTAGGAGTGGGAGCTCTGGACTGCCTGCTTCAGATTCCAGCTATGCCCACTGCAGTGGTACGGGGCGCGGGGGAGGGGGGGTTGGGAGTGAGATCCTGGGGAGGAGGGACAAGGGGAACACCTAGTTGGGTGGAGGTGGGGAAGGAGAGAGCCACCTTGAGCAAATGATTCATCTTTCTGAGTCTCCGATTCCTGGCCTATAAAGCAAAGTTAGTAATAACCAATTCGCAGGATGGTTGTGATCATTAAATGAGATAATGTACAAAAAGCCCTTAGCATGTACCCTGTGCACCCTGAATGCTCAAAATATGTTAGCTGCTAGGATGGTGACCATGATGCAGATGGCCCCAAGGTCTTTGTGTGAGGGAGGATATTGGGTCAGAAGGCAGAGGGAAACAGGGTGGGGGAGAGGGGGCATAGAAGGAGATCTGGCCTTAGCCGGTTTGGCTCAGTGGATAGAGTGTTGGCCTGCGGACTGAAGGGTCCCGGGTTCGATTCCGGTCAAGGGCACATGCCCAGGTTGTGGGCTTGATCCCCAGTGGGGGCATGTAGGAGGCAGCCAATCCATGATTCTCTCTCATCATTGATGTTTCTATCTCTCCCTCTTCCTTCCTCTCTGAAATCAATAAAAATATTTTTAAAAACTGGTTTAAACAAAGAAGGAGATCTGGACTAGGGATCCGGAATAAGACTGGCTGGGCCACAACTCCAGGCAACCCCTTCTGCTCCCCATTGGGGACCTCTATCTCTGTTTTCTGTGACTCTAATGGGAGTGGGGAGGGAAGGAGCCAGGGACACCCCAGACCAGCTATGTGGACTCCCCGGGTTGCCCCTGCCTCTCCCCTGAAGGGCCCAGTTTCCCCTTGCCTGGTAAAGGGAGTAAGGGTGAGGGCTGGATATATCTGGGTCCCACTGTGACCCGGCCCTCCTATACGTCCCGCCTCCCCCAACAGCGTGCAGGTGGAGCTGTGCTTTGCTTACAACCAGAGTGCCGGGAACCCCAACTACAGGAGAAACATCAGTGAGTGCTGGGGTGCAAGGGGGGGGGCAGGCTCACCAGGTCACTTGCTGACCACCTGGACCTCCACCTGCAGCCCTGGCCTACACGTTGGAGGCAGACCGGGACCGCCGCCCACCCCGGCTTCGCTTTGCGCAGAGCCAGTCGGCTGTCCTTCATGGCTTCTTCTCCATGCCCGAGCGGCGCTGCCAGAACCTAGAGCTGCTCCTGATGGTGAGGGAGGCGCCAGGGGAGGGCCACGTCCCTCAAAGAGGTAGCCAGCACCCACCCTCCCCAGGCCAAGGGCGAGGGACTGGGGTCTCCCCAGAGACAGAGGTGGGGGAGGTTGCCTGGAAACCCGTGGGTCTTCGGGGGTACAGTACACAGCCCCCAGCATGTGGTAGAGGAGAGATGGAGACCTGAGAAGAGTGAGGGCTGAGACTCCTGGCTCGGCTCCGCTCTGGGGAAGTGGGTCTGTGAGTGGGGGGCAAACTCAGCCACTCTCTGGGACCTTGGGGTGAAAGGGAGACCTCAGCTGTGGAGCCCAGGGATGAAGGGAGGCTCACACCTCCCCAGGCTATCCCTGCACCCCGTCTCACCTGTGGATCAAGGTGGTAGGAAGGGGATCAATTTGGTTATAGGACAAGAGGAGGTTCAGCCTTCCTGGGGGGGGGGTGTCCTTCCCAGGTGGAGTGGGGGTGCCTACGCTCCTCCCTGGGGACTCCGGGTGGTGTCAGGATTCAACTCGGCAGGGAGGGCGGTGCGGAGCTGGGCTCAGCTCGCCCTCCTTCCCAGGACAACATCCGCGACAAACTCCGCCCCATCGTCATCTCCATGAACTACTCGTTACCTTTGCGTTTGCCCGACCACCCCCGGCTGGGCTTGCGGTCCCTGGACGCCTACCCGGTCCTCAACCAGGCACAGGCTCTGGAGAACCACACTGCCCCGGTGGGTCCTGCGCTGCTCACGCCGCTGTCCCCCCAGGTCCACTTCCAGAAGGAGTGCGGGCAGGACAACAAGTGCGACAGCAACCTGCAGATGCAGGCGGCCTTCGTGTCGGAGCAGGGGCAGCGGCTGAACAGGTGCACCCTGGGCCGCACCTATTGGCCAAGGGTGGGGAGGCCTTCCTTAGCTTCCGGGATCGAGGGGCGGAGATCCCAGGGGTGGGGCCTCAGAGGGAGGCGAGGCTGAGAGGCCGGACTTTACTTGTCCAGGTAGGATGTGTAACTGACCTTCACCGGCCTTCTCTCCCCTGCGAGACTAGAGGGCGGGGCCTGGCTGTGCGGAGTAGGGGCTTTCTAGAGTTAGTAGACCAAAGGGGCGGGGCCTAAAGGGGGCGGGGCGGGGCCTGGGCGGGCTTTGGGCTCAGTCTAAGGCTCCTCCCTTTTCAGGCTCCAGTACAGCAAAGACCTCCGGAAACTGTTCCTGAGCATCAATGTGACCAACACCCCAAGCAGGGAGCGGGCTGGGGAAGACGCCCACGAGGCGCTGCTCACCCTGGCGGTGCCCCCCGCCCTGCTGCTGTCCTCAGTGCGCCCTGTGAGTACCCCGCCCGGGCTCCATCATGTACTTGCATCCTTAGATGCATGTCGTTTACATGTGTTGTCATGTGTCCCCTCTTCTCTGGGCTGGGCCTCCTCCGGTGCCTGCGGCATCTCTGTTGCTAAGGGAACCCTGTTCTCATGCCTCTGGGGCTTCAGACCCTGTGATACAGGGAAGGGGCGGGACCAGCCCTCCTCTGACCACCCAGATGGCATTATCTTCTTTCCTTAGTCTGGAACCTGCCAGGCCAACGAGACCATCCTCTGTGAGCTGGGGAACCCCTTCAAACGGAACCAGAGGGTAAGCCCGGGCCGCATTCTCCAAGGCGACTCCCTATTCTTCTCGCTTCACCCTGCCTGCTTCCTGGCCCTCCTTGAAGCAAAGAGCCAGCGTGGGGGAGGAGGAGATCAGAAAGGGGTGCGGAGAGATCCAGGGACTGAGAAAAATGGAGCTACTAGTGAGCTGTGCACAAAGCGAGAGGTGGTGGAGATGAGGAAACCAGTTTGGCAGAGCACCTCCTCTGGGCCAGGCTGCAAGCCCAACACTTTGCTTCTTCTATATGACTAATTCTTACAGCCTTCGGAGGTGGCAGATGCTGTTTCACAGACAGAAACACAGGCTTAGAAAGTTTTAATAACTGACTTAAGGTCATGTAGCTCAAAAGTAGCCGAGTTGTCACTGACAGAGAAGAGGAAAGGGGACGCGGAGATGTGACTGGGAAGGTACAAGAGTGGAGATGGGTGGGGAGGTGGAGAACCCTCACCCAGGATCGGGGGAAGAAGAGGCCGGAGAACCGATGTAGCATAGGATTGAGCCCCCGCCCCAGGGCATCACCCCTGCGTGGCCCCAAACACCCTTCTCTGCCTCCCTGGCCATCATGGCAGATGGAGCTGCTCATCGCCTTCGAGATCATTGGGGTGACCCTGCACACAAGGGAATTCCAGGCGCAGCTGCAGCTCTCCACGTAAGTGACCTTGCAAAGCCAGGCTGTATTGGGGTTAAGGGGTCCTGGGACCTCCCCCAGCCCCAGCCTCAGCTGACATATCTCCTTACCCACTCCCCGCACTTCCTTCCCAGGTCAAGTCACCAGGACAACCTGTTGCCCATGACCCTGACTCTGCTGGTGGACTACACGCTCCAGGCCTCGCTTAGCATGTAGGTACTACCGTGACCCCCAGTCTTCTCTTCCTGAGCTAGGGCTCCCTGTCCTCAAGGTGTCTCCAAGCTTCTCTGACACACCTCTCTTGGCCTGGTTTCCCGAGGCCTTTCCATCCCCTGGATCACCCCTCCCCTTAACAACAACCACTGTCATTGTTGTGGTTCTTATTCCTCCTGCAAAGCCAGCAGCAGTGGAGGAATCAGCAACTCTGGGGAATAAGGTGTTGGTACCATCTCTTGACAGCTCATTGTGCTACGGATGTTCTATACATCATCTCATTGGCTCTTCACAACAGCCCATGATATAGCAACAGTTATTAACTCCACTTTACAGATGAGGAAACTGAGGCTCAAAAAGGGTCAATAACTTGCTTGAGGCCACCGAGCTATGGCCGGACTGGAATTTATCTTAGATCTGCCTAATGTCCGAGGGAGTTAACCAACTTGGGTGCCACCCCCTCTGCCAGAGCCCCTCCTGCCTCCTGTGACTCCAGCATCTTTCTTACCACTAGGGTGAGTCAACGGCTACAAAGCTACTTTTCGGGAATGGTGATGGGCGAGTCTGGCATGAAAACTGTGGAGGACGTGGGAAGCCCTCTCAAGTATGAGTTCCAGGTAAGGGGACTCTGGGACCCTGGGCCGGAGACTTCTGGGAAGGGTGATGGGGCAGTTCTTTCTGTCTGGGATGTCAGGCTGTGAGGGTGGGGGTTGGTGAGATAGAGGTGGTTTCCTAGGAGATAGTAATCTTGACACCCTTTGTGCCCACAGGTGGGCCCAGTGGGAGAAGGGCTGGCAGTCCTGGGGACTCTGGTCCTAGGGCTGGAGTGGCCCTATGAAGTTGCCAATGGCAAGTGGCTGCTCTACCCCACGGAGATCACCATCCGAGGCAACGGGTCCTGGACCTGCCAACCACCAGGAGACCTTGTCAACCCTCTCAACCTCACTCTCTCAGTAAGGACACCACAGGGATCTTTCATTTGCATCTCATTTGCATGCTGCAGGGCAGAAAGGCCAGCGTCTTCCCACCCCTCCCCTCACACTCTTAGGGACCCTGCCTCTCCCCCTGCGCTTTCTTCCTCTCCTCACCTCCGCTCATTCCTTCCTCCCAGCAAAGCTCCTGTTCCCTCTTCAGGTCCCTGAGGACAGACCCCCATCACCACAGCGCAGGCGGCGACAGCTGGACCCGGGGGGAGTCCAGGGCCCCCCACCTGTTCCTCTGGCTGCTGCCAAAAAAGCCAAGTCTGAGACCGTATTGGTGAGTGGCCAGGGTTGGAGAGGGTTGTGGCCACACATCCAGGGGGCTTGCGAAACAAGGGGAGTAGGGACTGTTCACCAGGAGACCCCAGTCTGATGAGGTGACATAACCCTTGTCCTCAGGAGCCCCTAGTCAGAGCAGCTGGACTCATCTGCTGCCCCCAGGGGGCACCTCACTGCGCTTGCCCTTGGGGGTACAGTCAATACAGTGGACCAAAGGAAGAGACACTGGCTCTAGTCCCAGGACCCCCCAGCCTGTTGGAGTGATAGAGCTGCTCAGCCTTGGACATTAGGGCTGGAATGGGGAAGGCGGAGTAGGGTGCCCCTGTCCAAAGGGAGACAGGAAGAGAATTGGAAGGAAGTAGCGGCCTAGCTGGGTGGAGGTGGAGGCGGTATCCGAGGTGGGGGCTCAGTGTGGGAGGAGGCTGGGAAAGGGATGTTGTAGATGGGGCCCCATTTCCATGAGCAGATATCAGATTTCATGTTATCCATGTCCCTGGCATCTATAAGTGGTTGACCCAAAGAATATGTCTTAAACATATACTGGTAAGTATGGGGGTGAGGGTATACATGAGTGAAGGGCTGAGGTCAGGGCCCTTTGGGTCAGCCACGGGCAGGGGAGGAGTCGAAGGTAAGGGGCAAAGCATGAAGACTCTGGACACCCAGCCTGTCTCGTGCCCTGTGTTCCCTGCCTACCGCAGAGCTGTGGCAGTGTCCACACCCGCTGTGTGTGGCTGGAGTGCCCCATTCCTGATGCCCCTGTCCTCACCAACGTGACAGTGCGGGCTCGAGTGTGGAACAGCACCTTCATTGAGGTCAGTGCCTGGGTCTGGAGGTCTCCCCTGCCACCTGCCTGGGTGGGGAGAACAACAGGGAGAGGGGGAGGCCAGGGTCACAGCAAGGCCTCATGTGTGTGCATGCATGTGTGTGTGCGTGTGCGTGCGTGTGTGTGTCAAGGACAGCGTCATGTTGTATACAGGACAGGTTGGACACCTGTCATTGTGTGCTGTGTCAGTGTTAGTTTCTGTGCCTGGTTGTGGACATGACATGTTTGTCTCCAGCCAAAATGACCTTCTCTCATGTGTCCATTGTTCTGTCATGTGCCCACGACTTTCCCACCTCCCTGCCTTTGACATGCTACTCCTTGCCTCTAGAATGCCAGCTCCCCTCTTTTATCTCTGGATGGAAACTCCTATTCACCCCTAAAAGTCCCCCTCAGATGCTTCACCACCAGTGAGGTCTTTCCAGCTGAAAATGATCTGTCCTCCAAGATTATAAATGTTTTCAGTTTTGTGAGCCATACAGTTTCTGTTGCAACTACACAGTTCCTCCATGCAGCACAAAGCTGCCGTAGACCACGGTACATGATCCGGCATGACTGCGTGCCCCAGGTACTTTACTTACAAAAGCAGGCAGCAGGCCAGACTTAGGCCACACACCTGACCTAGACTGTGACCTTCATTGTCTCTGTTGTTCTCAGCACCCAGCACAGGATCCGATGCACAAGTGAATGAATGATGCGCATTTGTGTGGGGGGAGGCCTGGCTGTCAGATCCTTTGGGTGCTGCTGAAGGATGCTGTGTGGTGAGGGGGTACCCTGGGGGGGGGGCGGAAGCTTAGGGTCAGGAGGGAGGCTCATCTGATTCTTTTAACCCAACCATTTTCCCCGCAGGATTACAGAGACTTTGACCGAGTCAGGGTAACCAGCTGGGCTACCCTGTTCCTCCGAACCAGCGTCCCCACCATCAACATGGAGAACAAGACTGTGCGGGTGAGTGAGCCTGTTGCCTGGCCAGGGCCTGGAGCTCAGGGCATCTTCTCAGAGCCTTTCACACACGTCAGCTTAGTGGTCCTCAGTCCTGGCAGCACACTAGATCCTCTGATGCAATGAGATCTGAGTCTGTGGAGGTGGGACCCGGCAGTGGTTCCTTTAAAAACCCCACCACCCCGTGATTTTAATGGGCAGCCGTGGTTGAGAACCTCTGCTTGACCTTATTTGATTCACACAACATCGCCACGAGGATGTCCCATCTCCAAGCAAACTTGGAAAAAAGGTTCCCAGACTTAATTCTGAGTTATACCTGGAAGAGTAAATATGACAGAGTTTCTAATAAATTGTTGTGAAAAGGATATAAATGGAGATATGTAGGAAATACAGATAGGAGACGAATGGAGGGTTGGTTAAATATGTTATGGTACATTTCTTAAAATATATTAAGGTACTGGAGGAAGGGATAGAAAGATGCATGGAACTGCACAGAAACGTATTTTATTATACAGATGGCATTTTTAATCAGTAGAGAAAGGTGGGTTGTTAAATCATGTTGGAAGAGCACATTTGGAAGTTAAAGACAAACCCCTACCTCACACCATAAATAAAAATATACGTTTGAGTTAGACTAAACATTTAAAATAGGAAATAAAGCCTAATATACCAGAGAAAATTTAGAAAAATAATAATAATTTTTAATTATGTGGAGAGGGAGTTATTTTAGTAAACCCAGAAGTCACAAAGGGAAAATTTGACTACATGAAACTTTAAATTTATATACAGGCATACCTTGGAGATATGGTAGGTTTGGTTCCAGACCACCTCAGTAAAGTAACTATCACAATACACAGAGTCCCATGAATTTTTTGGTTTCCCAGTGCATATAAAAGTTATGTTTACACTATCCTGTAGCCTATTAAGTGTGCAATAGCATTGTATCAAAAAACACAATGTATACACTTTACTGCTGAAAAATGCTAACCATCTTCTGTTGGAAAAATGGCGCCAATAGACTTGCTTAATGCAGGGTTTCCACAAACCTTCAGCTTGAAAAAAAAATGCAATGTCTTCAAAGTCCAGTAACATGAAGCCTGCCTGTCCAGCACAAGAGCTGGTAAGGAAACGAAAAGGGCGAGAGATATATTGCTTTTTAAAAAGTCTATGGCACATATGCCGAAGTATTGACATATATTTAATGTGTAAAGGGCAACATAAAATAAACAGACAGTGTACATATTGTAAAAGACAAATGTTTAACTCAATAGTAAAGAAATAAAAATAGCAGCACAAGACTGTTATCCTATCGGATCAGGAAATATGAGGAAGAGTCATTCTATGTGGTGCTGATGCGCCGGAAGGAAATGCTTTGGATTGGAGTCTAAATTGATGGATTCTTTTTGGAGATGAGTTTGTCAATATCTATTTACAACTTAAAATGCACATCTCCTTTGCCCAGCACAGACTTAAGGAGCTAATAGGATAAGTATGTGAACATAAATATATGGGGCTCTTTTAAAGCGTCGTTTATAATGACATGAAATTGGAAACAATCTACGTGTCTTTCAGTGGATTGGTTCAATAAATTATGGCACGTTTCTCCAATGACGATGCAGTTATCAGAAGAGACCAGGGTGATCTTTATTAATGGCATCAAAGGGTGATGATATTAAGTGAAAAGGGAAGCAGGTCGCAAAAGAGTGTGTACAGTCCATATAGATCCCATTTATGTGGGAGAAAAAAGTACACATATTTAACACACGCACTAAAATATGGAAAGGGAGTCACTAAAATGTTGGAGATGGTTATTTCTCAGGAGTAAAATTATAAGGAGCTTTTGGTTTTCTTTGTAGCATCTGTAGTTTAAAAAATAATAAAATGATTTTTAAAGAAATAATCATGCATAACCAGAAAAAAACTTCCTAGTTATATGTGAAATATATTTAATATATAATATAATTTTGTATCATAACATATGTCATATATTGTTACATGTAATATAATATATATTTCATGTGTGTGTGTGTGTGTGTGTGTGTGTGTATCTCCATTGTAGGGGAAGAAAAAGAATGGTACTATCTGCTATGCATTCTCTATTGTTTTGTAAATATTTATGGATTGCTTACTGTGTACCAAGTATTGTTCAAAGCAGTTTATTCATATTACATGCATTCAGTCCTCCCAGGAACCTATTAGGTAGGTATTATTATCCAGTCCCCATTTTACAGATGAGCAGAGAGGTTAGGCGACTTACCCGAGGTCACACAGCTAGTGAATAGCACAGTTGGGACTTGAACCCTCTAGAGCAGTGGTCCGCAAACTGAGGCTCGCAAGCCACGTGCGGCTCTTTGGCCCCTTGAGTGTGGCTCTTCCTAAGCCTTAAGTTAATAACAATGTACCTACCAATATAGTTTAAGTTTCAAATATTTGGCTCTCAAAAGAAATTTCAGTCGTTGTACTGTTGATCGTTGGCTCTGTTGACTAATGAGTTTGCCGACCACTGCTCCAGAGAGCCTGGCTCCAGAACACAATCTTTGGGCCACTCTATGAGGCAGGCATTATGATCCCCTGAGCAGAGACCATGAAATGGAGACTCAGAGAGCTGACCTGTCCAAGGCCACACAGCTCGTCAGGGATGGAGCTGGTACCCCAGCCTGGATGTGTGCATCACAAACCCAAGTTCTAGGCTGCCTCCCAGATCTGAGACTGTTCCTTTGGAGAAACCAGATCTTGGCTGAATCGGCTGCTCTCGGGGGCCTTTTCCAGTCCCTGCGCGCCCCCTACTGGCAGTAGGTCGAACAGCAGGGTCAGGGACCAAGCTGGGCCGGGAAGCAGGAGCACGGGGCCTAAGGGGGCGGACACAGGCCTGAGCCCCTTTCCCCCCTCCAGTTCTCCGTGGACATTGACTCCGAGCTGGTGGAGGAGATACCAACCGACATCGAGCTGTGGCTGGTGCTTGTGGCCGTGGGGGCCGGGCTGCTGCTGCTGGGGCTCATCATCCTCCTGCTGTGGAAGGTGAGGACCCCAGCTGGCCTCCGGGACCGCCTGCCAGCAGCCCCTCAGCCACTCACCCTTCACCCCACCCCTCACTTCCATCGCACCCCCACCCTGCCCTTCTCCCATGTCCTCCCGCCTTCTCCCCAGCTTTCAGTCTCACCCCCTGCCCCTCCTCACCTCACCCACGGGGATGCTCCGACCTGGGTTAATGGGGGGCCCTGCAGACTGGAAAGGGGAATCCAGGAACTCTGGCCTCTGGCCACACCGCCCCGCTGGGGCTGGAACCCAGGCCTCCAGGCTCTCCAGTCCTAAGCCCCCTCCATCCATGAGTGCTGCTGGCCAGGACCCCCAGCTCTCCCTGACCACCCCTCCCACCCTCCCCTCCGCAGTGCGGCTTCTTCAAGCGAGCCCGCACTCGCGCCCTGTATGAAGCTAAGAGGCAGAAGGCCGAGATGAAGAGCCAGCCGTCAGAGACAGAGAGGCTGACCGAAGACTACTGAGGGGGCAGCCCCCGCCCCCACCCCGCCCGGGTAACTTGGCCTCCGGGCCCTCTTCCCTGAGCCCCCCAGCTGGCTGGGGCCTCTGACTCTGTCCTATCTGCTCCTCTTCCTTCATGGGACCTCTCTGTACCTCACTCTGTCCCCAGCGCCACCCCAAAGAGCAGGCCACTCTGTCGGCCTCCCTGCCACGCCCCGGGAGAGCTGGTGGTGTCTTTCCTCACCAGCCTCCCCACTGAGCCCCTCGAGGACTTGGGACCCCAGAGTAGCCATAAAACCCTCCCATGCTTCCTAGCCAAGACCAAGGCGAGGCCTCCTCTCTGTAGCTCACAAGGCAAATTTCCAGATGCTTCTACACCCCCATTTCCACCTCTAGAGAAGGAGGGGGCTCGTAGAGTCCTGCCTCCTGGGAACCAGCACTGTCCCTCCTGGGAACCCCCACCAGGGTGACCCCTGACCCCTCCCCACACTGTGGTCAGGATAGATCCCCACCCTTCCTAGTCCTCCCATCAGCAACCCCGGCGGCCACCCCTACCTCCATCTGCCTCTCCCTCTCCTCTCGGCCCTCCTCACTCCTCCTTCCTCTGGGGACGGTGGGGAACCTCGTCCTCCCGGTCTCGGTGCAGGGAATTGGTGTGTTTGGTTTGGATCGGGGGTCCTGGCTTTGAGGACCTCTGGGTGGGGGAGGAAAGGGCTGGGCACATCTTCCCACAGGCCGCTGACGTCCTTCCTCCCCTCCTCCCAACTCCAGTGTGACTTCTTTAAGCGGACCCGCTATTACCAGATCATGCCCAAGTACCACGCCGTGCGGATCCGGGAGGAGGAACGCTACCCACCTCCAGGGGGCACCCTGCCCACCAAGAAGCACTGGGTGACCAGCTGGCAGACGTGGGATTGATACTACTGACGCCCTCCCTGATCCCGCCCCTGCGCCCCTGGTGTCCCCTTCTTCCTTTGTCATATGTTAAGTTATGCCCCGATAGTCTGCAGGGGCCACGGCCTTTGGCTGGCACCAGTGGGTTCGGGCACACACACCTCCTTGAGCGCGCATGCACATGCCATCTGACCACGGGCTTCTCCACGCAGGAGGGCTGGGGCCGTGGACTTTGCTACGCCGAGCACACTGCAGCCCTGTGCCCTGGACACACGTGGGTCCCACTGCTTGTGGACTGTGCTTGTGCACCACAGAGGGTGCGTGGACATGCGTGTGCCGGCCTTTGCCGCTGCCAAAACCAAGCCCGAGGGCCTCTGCCAGAGCCGGGAAGGAAAGGCCCCGAAGTGGTGACCCCTCCCCTACATACACTGGACCCATCTTGAGCCATAGTCACTGGGTGGACTCCGCTCTTGAGACGAAAACTACTGACAGGGAACGGCCCGCAGCCTCCAAGCTGTAGTTCCTGACACCGTGAGAGAACGCGGGTGGGGTGGATCTGCCCGAGGCTGTCCAAGGGGGCGTTTGCAGGACTGGGCATGCTCAGACGAGAGCAGAATGAGCTAGAAAGAAGGTCACAGGATGGCTTTCTTTCGTGGACCGCTGCGAAGCCTCTGTCCTCAGCCGCGGCGTGCTCTAGTGGGGAGCGCAGCCTGAAGGAGCAAGGATGGACAAGCTGCTAGGCAGCCTGGACACGCTGCGCTGGGACCGCCCTGGGAGCACAGAGGATCCTCCACCGAGGAGCGGACTGGCTGGTCCCGGGCCAAGGAGATGCTGGAAGGATACAGAGGAAATGCCACTCCTCACCCACCGCTACTGTCCTGGCGTCTGCAGGGCCTGGAGAGACCCCCACGAGATCGCAGAGGGAGCGACACTTGAATGTAGGACAGGGAGGGAGCCCTGTCCCTGACCCATCGGCCACACCTCACTCCGTCCCCACCCGCCATGGGCTGAGGGCCTCGAAGTGGAGTTCTTGGCTGGCCTGGGCTTTCATCGTCAACCAGCTCTGCCTTCCTCCCTATGGGCTGAGTCCTGAGGCCCATTCGGGAAGTTGAGGCTGGTTCCGGAAACCCCCTCCTGCCCCCTGCCTGTCAGCAGGCCCCCCGCCCCTTCCACGGTACTGTAGCCGGGGAGCTCCCTCCCCCTCCTTGTGCCTTCTTTGTACATAGGCTTCTCACACCAATAAACAGCTCCCTGTTTGTACACACTGCAGCTGCCTCCACCCCTCACCCCTCCTCCTCCATTCTGACGGACCATGATGTCTGGCTGCCCCCAGGTGGACAAAGCGCAATGCAGGGGTCTTAAGGCCGGGAGGGTGAAGGCTGATGGAGGAGATACCTCCTCTGCTCTCAGGGATGCTCTAGTCTAAGGGCTGGTCATACACGGGGAACTGAAATGCAGAAAGTAAGAGGAGCAGGAAGGCTTGAGTAGAGCGGATGGAATAAAAAATGGCTTTTTGGTGGCCAGTGAGCTGGTTCTAGGGAGGGAGCGGGGGGGGGGGTGATATGCAGAGTCTGGAAGAGGCAGGAAGCTACGTGCTGTAGAAACAGGTAGTCCTAGGTAACAGAGGCAGGAGCCTGGGTGCAAGGGTGGGAGCCAAGAGCCCCTCCTACCCCTGTGGCTTAATTCAGGTGAGGACCAGCTTTTCTGCCTCAATCCCCACCACCACCACCTGCAGGTGTCATGATGAGTAGATAATCAGGAGGTGAACCAGTGACCCAAGGCCTCCTTCCCAGCAGGGTTCTGGGAGCCCTCGTCACATGGACACTCCCCCCGAGTGCTTCAGTCCTGAGCTGACATCGCCCCCTCCCCAGCATCGGATCAAGCCCTCCGCCTCCTCCTCTGCCCTAGGTTGTTCCCTCACACAGGCCTCGGGAATGGAGGAAGGCTCTTTTCCCCTTGACTTCCTCCTAAATGAGGGCACAGGTCCTTCTAGTCACTTTCCCCAAGGCTGTGGCCTTTGGTGAGACTTCACTGATTTTATTACCTGGAGAAGTCTAGACACAGGTTCTCTGAGAGCCCACAGACCAGGCCGTTCCCTGGGGAACTGCTCCTGGATACCTCCCAGCCTGCCTCAATGCAGCAGCTGCCTGCCCCCCGCCCCTCCGTAAGAGCCCACCTCACAGAGTCGTGGGCCCAGTGCCCCACTCCCCTTTCTGTGCTGGGATTGCTGGTTCCCAGGTCGATTGGCAGTGGACTGTCCAGTTCCTTTAGGAAAAGAAACCTCAACCCCTACCCAGAGCTCTCAAAACCAGTCATCGGACGCCTCAGTTTATTTTCCAGAATCTGTTATTCTCTACGTCAGCAATAACATGTAGGTTATCAAAGTCCAGCTCCAGTTGAACCAGCTCAGTCCAGACCTTTGCAGCCACCTCCTTCTTAAGAAAAAGGTGGGATCGCCTGGCTGGTGTGGCTCAGTGGTTGGTATTGACCTATGAGCCAGGAGATCATGGTTCGATTCCTGGTCAGGGCACGTGCCAGGGTTGCAGGCTCAATCCCCAGTGGGGGGCATGCAGGAGGCAGCTGATTAATGATTCTATCTCATCATTGACGTTTCTATCTCTCCCTCTCCCTTCCTCTCTGAAATCAATAAAAAATATATTTTAGAAAAGAAAAAGGTGGCATCTATATGCATCCTTCCAGCCAGCTTTAGAGGCCCAGCCCCCAGCTCCTATGAGCAGCTGCTTAGATGAGAAACACACACACACACACACACACAAACACGAGAATAAGTCATTTTCAGGACTGGTGCAGCTACACTTTTATGAAAGAAACATAATGGCAGAGACAACAATGCCCACTTTCATAAAAGGACCCTCTATACCACCAAGCTTCCTGAGCTCCTTGGGGCCACGGTACCTCCCAACCGTTACAGAAGAGGGCCGTGGCTCTCGTATCCAGGCAGAAGAGGCAGCATTTGCAACAGCTTGGAGACTGGAGGCTGACTCAAAGCAGGAGAGAAGTATGGTTTGGAGTTGAGCAGTGGAATATGGAGAAATGAGGCTAGCTAGATAGTTAAGCCAAAGCAGATCACGTGAGAACTTGAAAGGCTCCAGTAAAAAGTGGAGAGTCAAAAAAAAAAAAAGTGGAGAGTATTTGAAAGGCTGTAAGCAAGAGAAGTAACAAGTTCAGATTTGCTGTAAATGAGCCTCAGTTTCCTCATCTATAAAATGGAGCTATTAATAGCATCATAGAGCTGGTGAAGAATTAAATGATAAAATGCATACAAACAGTGCCTGGCACATAGGTTATTATTCATCAGCTAAGAGTCCCTTCCATGTGCGGCCTTGCCCATAGCTCTGTGTTGGCTATAACCTCATTCTGTTACGTCTATTCATTTAGTTATTTACTCATGCAGCTAGCTCCAAAACTGAGAAATGATGTGCCTTAATCCTGTCTGTGTTTACTGTTCCCAGCACAAAGCCTAGCACATATTAAGCACTTGGCAAGTGTAGGCCCAGGACTGAGCAGTGAAAAGGCAAAACCATCAAAAAGGCGAGTCGGTGGACAGGACATACCACATCCAACCGCGAGAGGGCGCGCTACGCTCCTCCCAGAGAGCTGGGGCTGCTGGAGAAAGGGGGCTCCCTGGCTCCCCCAACACAAATCACCTTCTTGGACGTTTCTTCAGGGAAGCCCAGGGCGGAGGAATTGCCTTCTCAGGTCAAATGAGCTGGAGGAGAATAAAAAGTGTTTTGAACTCTGCACTCGTAGCGCTGATGGTAAGGGCTGCCTCGCCTCCGCTGGTGGCTGGGTCTTTGTGTCGTGGGCGGGCTGTGCGACTGTATGAGCGAGTCCGGGGGGCTGCATCCTCCCCCCGAAGTGTGTGAACATTCACAGTCCCTGTCCCCGGGCTGGGAACCCACTGCGGGCGAGCAGGTGGGGATCAGGCTGACACAGGGCCTCTGGGAGCACAGGGACGCGTTGAAAGCCACCCGGGCCGTATCAGGGAAGACAAGACTGGAGGTCCGCGGAGGGAGCGGGAAGGGAAGAGGCGGCGAAGGAGGAGGAGATCACGGGCCTCTGGGACCGAGGGGTTAACCGGCGGCCAGGCTGGGGACCCCGCGGAGGGAGCCGAGGGGGGCGGGCTCTCCGCGCGGCCTGAAGAAAACAACAGGCCGTTCCCAGCCAACCCGGGCGAGGGGGCGGGCCCGGGAGGGAAGCCACGTGCCGGAGCGGGACGCGATTGGCTGTCCCGGAGTTGTTTGTGAGCGACCATTGGCGGCGACGGGGAGCCGCCTCCAGCCGATTGGCCGGGTTTTGGAGGAAGGCCAGGGCCAGGGGAGGAGCGGTGGAACCGCTAGGCCGAGTTGGGCCGAACCGGGCCGAGCGGAGCGCGAGAGCCCGACGCGCGGCCACCCGACCCCGACCCCGCCGCCATGCGCTGGCTCCGCGCGCTGCTGAAGAACGCGTCCCTGGCCGGGGCGCCCAAGTACATCGAGCACTTCAGCAAGTTCTCTCCGTCCCCGCTGTCCATGAAGCAGTTCCTGGACTTCGGTACGGAGTGGGCCCCGCGGGTGCTGGGTGGAGCGGATGGAGGGGTCCCGGCCAAGAAGGATGCACGCGGAAGAGAGAGGCCCTGCTTGACGGGGAAGGGTTGCTGGGAGGGCAGCGGGCAGGAAAGGGTTAACGGGGAGGCAGGGACCACCCGGCCCGAAGGGGTCGCGGGTACCTGGGCTGAAGGGTCCCTGGACTAGACTATTCGTGGGCAGTAGGGGGCGTTGAATAGGGGGAGGGGCCCAGTGTCTTACTGGGCTTTGTGAGGGTCTTGGAGAATAAGGGGCAGTGGATGGGTGCTATTAGGGCAGGAAGGAGGTGGGGGTCCCCGTCCAGGCTTATATAATGGGTCCTGTTGACGCTAAGAGTGGGAGACAGAGAGGAAGTGGGGGGCTGCTGGTGGGGAGCACTAGGAGGTGCGGGCCATCTGGAAGGAGACCTGGGAGGGGTCAGTGAGGAAGGGGCTCTTTCAGAAGATGCCCACAGGAGAGAGGCCCAGACCAGGATCCCTCCACTCACTGAGGGAGCCGGCCCCCCAGCTGTCGCTGTGGGCAAGGACACTTGAAGATCAAATCCCCTTAGGCCTGACTGCCTGTCCCCAGCTGGGCCGGGGCCCAGGGCACCACGAGATGGAGTCAGGCGGCTTGTGCCCACCCGCAGCTGCCTGCCCCTGGGTTCCTAGGCTGGGAACCCCCGCCATCAGGGTTCTGGGGGTGGCTCGAGCCGGAGCAAGGCTGTGCCAGCTGGTCACACCATGTGGGCCCTGTTGGACTATACGTTGTTTGTATGATGCCACCTGGGGATTAGGAGGGGGTGCCCGGGACTCGCAGGACTTGAGGAGACAGTGTCTGGCTCAGGTTACAGCTGCGTCATTGTTGGGAGCGGGCAGGGAGGGGGCAGCCAGGAGACAGAGCACCTGTTTCCTGGACTTGGCCACCTGCCCTGTACCCGTTTGAGCTGCCCCCATGTAGGAAAGCCTCCTGTGCCCACTCGAAACCCCTAGCAGAAGTTTAGTCCAGACTGGATGGACCCCAGTTATACAGATGTCACAGCCGGGAGGGGCTCACAGTAGAGTCTGGTCGACGTGTAGTACAGTGGGGGAAACTGAGGCTTTCAGAAGGATCATGACATGTCCTGAGCGATGGATTTGGAAGCAAAACCTGGACTAGAACCTGGGTCTCCTGACGGTAGCCTGTGGCCTCATTCAGTCCTTCACCATCTTTCCATTTGGAAGCCAAGCCAAGGACCAAGCTATTTGGGTTACCATCCTTTGGCCCTAACTGCCTCACAGGTGGTGGGCAGTAACGCAGGGGCAGCCTACCGTGGTCGTCAAGACCAGTTGGGTGATGCTGGGTTGGGCCAGAGATGATGCTGGGGGCCTGTAGCTGCAATGGTCCAGGAATAACTCCCCTCAGCCAGGGCCCGGGCCTGGGAAGGAATGGATTTCCCAGGCTGCTCTGCTCACCTGGACCAATTTCCCCGAAGTGAGTGTCTGGTAGGAGGGAAAGAAAGAGAAGCAGTGAGGTAACTGAGACCAGGAGAGCAAGCTCCCCATGGGCCTGGGAGTGGATCTGCCCCCTGCTGTTGGCGGAAAGCAGGGTCCAGCTGGGGGTGAGGAGAGGATGCCGCTCCCCGGCGGGTTAGATGGGGTGGTGGGGAGGTCAGAACACTGCAGGCATTGGGAGAGCTGCCTCCTCTGTGCCCGGACCACTT